TTATTGCTCTGGCTAGGAATTTCAATATTATATTGTTGAGGAGTGGAGAGAGAAGACATCCCTTTCTTGTTCCTGATTTTAAATGGAATGCTTTTCACTGATCACCATTGAATCTAATGCTGGCAGTAGGTTTGTCATATTCAGCCTTTGTTATATTAAGGAATGTTCTATGGATTCCTAGCTTCTCCAATGGACCAGCAAAAAGCTGGAAGAGGAGTTGTGGTTCAAGAAGTAGAGTGGGGGCTGGAAAGATGGCTCAGTGGTAGAGCGCTTGCCTTGCATGCCTGAGGCCCTGAGTTCGATTCCTCAGCACCACATAAGCAAAAAGAAAAAAAACCGGAAGTGGCGCTGTGGCTCAAGTGGTAGAGCACTAGCCTTGAGCTGAAGAGCTGAGGGACAGTGTTCAGGCCCAGAGTTCAGGCCCCACGACCGGACCCCAAAAAAAAACAGAGTGGGAGCTGCTAGTTAAAAAGCTGAGGAATTACTTCTGCCTCCATGCTGGTCCCGCTTCCCACCTTTCCCTGTGTAATTTGGCTTAACATGAGTCCCCTCCTCTTTAATTATTTTTCCTTCCCCTCTCTCCTTCCATCCTGTGTGGGCTCACAGTTTGCTGTCCCTCCAAATAAACTCTTTTCTGCCTGGACCACGTGGTGGTTTCCTTTCAGCGAACCTTACATCAAGAAGTATAGACATTCAGTCCACAGGACTGAATAAGTCTGGCAGGGAATGAGACAACTCCTCCAGAGCTGGTTGGCCACTGTATGATTCCAATAAAGATTAGAAGTGACAAGATTGCATGTAGGACAATTAAACTCAAGACAGAAAGTGACTGAAATGTGTCAGCTTCATTTGTAGGTATTTACTGGTGAGAAGTGATTAACACACAAATAAAACCACACAGATCTGCAGTTTAATGAGAAGTACATATCCATCAAAAAGTATAGTGCACGTTGGCACTCCTGCAGCACATTTCTGTAATCCCAGAGACTCAGGAGGCTGAGAACTAAGGACCACAGTTTGGAACTCCAGGAAGCTGATACTTGTAAAAGAACTTTATTCCCGATTAACCATCGAAAAAAACAGATGCGGTAGTGTGGCTCAAGTGGTAGAGCACTAGCCTTGAGCATAAAAGGCTAAGCAAGATTGTGAGACCCTGAATACTAAAACCAAAAGAAAGGAAATTAAGAGTAGAGGAATCTATTAACTTCGCACATGAACTGTATGAGAATTAAAACATATAACAAAGGTGTTTCTTATATATGGTGCTTGGTAAATAAGAACTTGAATCAGGATCCAATCACAGATCTTTCTAGATTTGATATGTATGATTTTAGCTGTGACAATGGCTTCTCCTGATAAGGAACTGCATAAACATGAGTAAAAATTGGGAGTTTGTATGTTTGTGTAACAATGAAAGCCACCCACCCCTCACTTTGAGCAACTGATATATACTCATAAAAAGTATTTAAATAATGAAATACCTAAATGAACATAGTGACCCCCATGTCTCACATTTGTAAAGCAAGCTGCTCAGGAGGCTGAGATCTGAGGATCGTGGTCCAAAGCCAGCCAGGGCAGGAACGTCCATGAGACTCTTACCTCCAATGAACCAGCAAAGAGCTGGAAGTGGATTGCTGGCCTGGAGCCGGGAGTCCCGTTTTTATGCCTCAGGACCACACACACACACACACACACACACACACACACTAGAAGTGTGGCAAACACCACACAGGAGAAAGTAGTCCCTCCATCCCCATCCCCCCCCCACCAATCATCTATGGTCAGGGGTCAGCAGCTACAGAGCCATGGGATGCAGAGACAGCCATGTTGAGAGCTGTGCATTTCTGCTTTTATGCCATCTCTGCTTTGGGCCCCTCTAACTGTCAAATGATGACCCATCGGTCCTAACATCTCTCAACAAATGAACACTGACAATCTAAAAGCACCCCCCACCCCCAATGCTCCCCGAGCAGCTAAAAGCCTTTGGTACTTTTCTAATCATCTCTATTGTATTAGTTGCTCTGCCACCATCCTCGAGGCAAAAGAAGGTCAAAGGTCTCAGTGATGCTCACAGACTATTATTACGAAGGGGAGTTCTCTTCCCACTCAGGCACTTTGCTCAGCTCCACTACGTAACCTACCTGCTACTTGCATTTACTTTTTGTTCCTCACTCCTTTTCCCTTCTTAATTTCCATCCTCAATAGGTAGTAGCACCAAACATCGGTTTATCTAATAGAGCAGGTTTGCCAGCTGGAAAGGATCACACACCGATAACAGCTTGATTCCTCAGCACCTTCACTACCAGTTCCCTGGATGGGTGCTCAGATATTCATAGGCTGTGTGTTGTGTAGCATTTTTAGAGTTTGTTTTGGTTTTTGGCTCTGGGCAAGTAATGAGAGCTGAACTCAGTAAGAAATCTTTCTGAGGCCCCATTTCACTGATGATGGTTAGATATTAAGTAATCATACCTTTCTGTTTGTACATTTTCGTAGGTGTGGGACCTGGCTGTTGTGTGTACATCTGGGTGGGCAGGAAGCGAATGTCACTTGTAGAAGAGCAAATGATGTGTGGCCTCCATTCTCAAGGAAAGTTAGGTCAACTCTGAACTGGCTTTACATCCTGAGATTTGTCGTCCCAAATACATTGGGATGTCTTTTGGCATTTGGTTTTGAATTCTTTCTCTAGCTTTTCCACAGAATTTGACCTTCGTATGTTTGAGTTTGGTCAGGGGTTTGTTTCCTTGTTTGTTTTGTTGTGTTCTGTTGTGCTAGATGTGGGGCTTGAACGCAGGGCCTAGGTGCTGTCCCTGAGCTTTCCTGATCTTATGCTTAAGCCCCAGGCCCACTTCTGGCTCTTTTGGAGCCAGAGGTCCTCCAAAGCTGGCTTTGAACTGTGATCCTCAGATCTCAGATATCTGGAGTAGCTAGGATTCTAGGCAAAAACAGCACTTTCATTACATGGTTTTGAAAAATGAGCTCTATTTATGATTGATTGATACAGTAAATTATAGAGAGTAAGGGATTGTCCCACATCTCAGAGGGTTGCTTATAACCATCAAGGAAAAGAATATTGTTTTCCAGTTCTTTCCAGGCCAGATACTCCAATTCCTGAGGGTGTGTGCACAGGACACACACTGGGTACCTTCAGTCTCCATGATTTAGAGAATTTTTCATGATGGCTTTTGATGTTAAGCTCTAATTTTATTCCAATTTGATCTGAGAGAATGCAGGAAATAATTTCAACATTTCTGTATTTGCACAGATTTTCTTTAGAACCTAAAATATAACCCATTTTGTAAATTGCATGTGCTTCTGAATACAACGTGTATTCTGATGCTGCTGGGTGAGATACTCTATAGACATCTGTGAAGTCTAATTGGTCAATGAAGTTCTTTAGTTCTGAGTTTTCTCTGATTAATTTTTGCTGGGTTGATCTATTGAGAGATGACTTGATGTATTAAACTCACCAACAATCTGTTCACTTGTAACCACATGTGTTTTAGGGTAAAAAGTATCAGTTTGATGAGATTAGATGCTCCAGCATTTGGCATATAGATGTTTAGAATTGTTATGTCCTGGGCTGGGAAGGTGGCTCAGTGGTAGAGTGCTTGCCTTGCATGTATGAGGCCCTGGGTTCGAGTCCTCAGCACCACATAAGCAAAAAGAGAAAAGTCCGAAATGGCGCTGTGGCTCAAGTGATAGAGCACTAGCCTTGAGCTGAAGAGCTGAGGGACAGCGCCCAGGCCCAGAGTTAGGCCCCACAACCAGACCCAAAAAAAGAAAAAGAATTGTTATGTCCTCCTGTAGGAGAGATCCATATATTAATATGTCACGTCCTTCTTAGTCTCCTCTCATAATTTTAATTTGAAGTCTATTTTTCTATCCGCTAGTGGTTTTGCTGTTCTGGCCCGTTTATGGGGCTCTTTGCTTGATAGATTTTATTCCAGCCTTTCACATTCAGAATGTTTGCTTCCTTGGGCAATGTGTGCTTTTTGGTGACAGAAGATAGGTGGATCTTGTTTTAGGATCCGGTTAGTCAATCTATGTCATTTAATTAGGAGTTAAGTCTGTGAATATTGACAGGACTGAGAAGTGTTTGGTAATTTCTGCCATTTATCTATCTTCTTTGGGGCCACGATTGTTTTTTCATACTGTATTTATATGGTCCTCTAGTAAACAGCTTTTTCTCTGCCTCTTATTTATAATAAACTCCCCAGAAAAGTGAGTAGTAATGTTGTGGCTCAAGTAGATCAGCACTACCTGACAATATGGAGGTAAGGGACAGCACCCAGGCTCAGAGTTAAAGTTCTAGGATGGACACAAGAAGAAACACAGAAGTAAGAAAGGAAGGAGGGAAGGAGGAAGGAAGAAATGAAGGAAGGAAGTAATGATGGAGGGAGGGAAGAAGGGAAGGAAGGGAGAGGAGGAAGAAGGAAGGAAGAAAGAAAGAAAGGAAGGAAGGAAGAAAAAGGAAGGAAGGGAAGGAGGGAGGGAGGGAAAGAGGGAGGGAGGGAGGGACGAAAAGAAAGGAGAGGAGAGGAGAGGAGAAAGGGAGGGAGAGAGGGAGGGAGGGAAAGAAATCCAGAGAACAATTTCCTGATGTCTTGTGGAGGTTACAACTTCGGGTAACTTCTCTCCTTGCATGCTTTGCAGTGGAACATCTGTGGAAATGTCTGGAGGGATTAAGGAATAGCAGTGGAGGTCATTTTGGTAAAGTGTGATTTACATTTCAAAGAGAAGCTGGGCTGTGTGACAGGACTTTAATCCTATCATTTTTTTTTGTTAAAATCAACCTTTGAATTAATCTCAAGTGAAACACCCAACCAAGGTGTGCTGGGTGTGAATCAGAAATCCCACCAGAAGCTGCTCTCTGATTGGCAGGTATGCATGGTGAGGCTAGGGATGGAGAACAGAGTAGAGTTCTGAATCCTGCAGTCAGAGCCTGGCCCTGCTGGGACTCAGAGAGCCCTGCACACCTGACCCACATCTGGTCCATCAAGATGAGCATCAGTACCCCACCCTCCCTCCAGCATCTGGCCATGCAGAGTCTGCTGAGCAACCAGGCCCTGGCCATCTCTGCCCTGGAAGATCTGCCTCTGCTGCTGTTCCCTTCGCTCTTCATGGAGGTCTATTGTGGAGCCCACACAGAGGTGCTGAAGGCCCTGGTGCAGGCCTGGCCCTTCCCCTGCCTCCCCCTGGGGGACCTGGCAGAGTCTCCAGACCTGGAGACCTTCAACGCTGTCCTGGATGGGCTTGATCTGCTACTGGCCAAGAAGGAGCGCTCCAGTCGGTGGAAACTGCAAGTCCTTGACCTGCGGAAGGAGCACCCCAACATCTGGATACAAGGGTACCCTTCCATGGCCCGACTATCTTGTCTGGATGTCCTGACTGACAAGCCAAGAGAGAGCCACTGCTCAGGGATGACTGAAGAGCAGCCCTTGATGATCGCCATGGACCTGACCATCAGAGGTTACGCTGAGAATGATCTCCAAGCCCACCTGTTCCAGTGGGCCAGCGAGAGGAAAGAACAAGTCCATTTGTGTTCAAGGCAGCTGCAGATTCTTACTAGCTCCATCTCTGAAATCCAGAAGGCTCTGCGTATGGTGAGGCTGGACTCCATCCAGGAACTGGTGGTGAGTGAATTCTGGCTTCCAAGGACCTTGAGAATGTTTACTCCTTACCTGGGCCAGATGAAGAACCTTCGCAGCCTCACGTGCTCCAGCATGTGTGGTGACTTCTTCACTCACTCCCAGTATTCCTGGGTGATTGGGGAGCAGCTGGGCCAGCTGCAGCATCTCCAGGAGCTTCACGTGCACGACGTATTCATCTTAAATGTAAACGTGCCCAACGTCCTCAGGAGCCTGAGGCCTTTGAAGGCCTTGTGTCTGAGCGCCTGTGCGCTGCAGGAGACAGACCTGAGGTTTCTGTTCCAGGCTCCCTGCACCAGGCAGCTCCAGCACCTGCGTTTGAGGACTTTGCTAATGCGAAATGCTGAGCTCCTGAGAGCCCTCCTGGGGCAAGTGGCCGGCACCCTGGAGACCCTGGCCTTGGAGGAGTGTTACATCACTGATGCCCAGCTCTCGGCCATCCTGCCCACCCTGAGCCAGTGCTCCCAGCTCCGCTTCTTCAGTTTCTATGGAAACCACATCTCCCTGGCCACCCTGCAGAACCTCCTGAGCCACAATGCCAAGATGGGCCATTTGAGAAGGGGGCTCTATCCTGCCCCTCTGGAGAGCTACAGCCCTGAAGTTTGGTTTGAAAGGAACTTCGACCCTGAGAGATTTGCTGAGGTTGGGGCTGCCTTGGTGCAGACATTGAGAGATGTGGGAACAAATCAGAAGGTCCAGATCTGCACCAATTTCTGTCATCGCCAGAACAGGTGCCAAATCTATAGCCTGACCCTTGATGGTTCCTGGGCGGTCACAAAAGAGGGTCTTCCTGGCTTTCCTGCTCTGCCTATGTAAGTCAAGCGCCTCTCTTCCCTGGAATCTTTCTCAGCCTCAGAAATGAAAACAGGGACAGAAAGGCAGTCTGCAGAGGACACAAAATCTGAAGTTCACTGTTGGTGGGAGAGACTGGCCATCTGGCCTCAGCTTTGCAGTTCAATCCTAGCTCCGGAGCTTTAGGATTTCTGGAGTGTTTCGGGCGAGGGGGCTAATATGTGTCCTGTGCACATACCATCAGGAATCTGGAGTCAATTCAGCCTGGAAAAAGTGGAACACAATCTTGTTTTTCTTAATGGTTGTAAGCAGACTCGTATCATGTGACAATCTCTTACTATCTATAATTTACTGTATCAATCAATCAAAAATAAAAAGAACAGAAAACATGAGTAGAAAGAGATCATTTTGCGGCACCATAGAATGAGAGTATTGTTTGTGGCTAGATTCCTAGTTACTCAGCAAGTCTGAGATCGGTGGATCACAGTTCAGAGCCAGCCTGGGCAGGAAAGTCCATGAGACTCTCAACTCTAGTGACCTTCAAATAACCTAGAGATGGAGCTATGGCTCAAGTAGTAGAGTGCTGGCATTGAGCACAAAATCTCAGGGAGAGCACAAACGTTCCAGAAATGGCAAAAAACACACCAACCTAAACAAAAGTCAATCACACATAGATCAATTTCTGGAGAAAAATGTATGAGAGAAAATTAAACATCCAATACCAAATGACATCCTATTAAATCCAAGAGAACTTTCTACTTCTCCAACATATTTGGCAATGCGAATTTTTTGTAATTAATGCTGTACTGGTTGAGATTTGATCAAATGGGCCTTAAAAATGCAAATCACGGTCCCTTTGAACTTCTATAAGAAATATTCACTTTGTGCCCACTCTGGCACACCAGACAACAAATCCAAAACAAAAAGCAAGAAAATGTGCTCACACCAGGGTCCAGCATCTATGGCCTCTAATTCTATTCATGAGTTTGATATCTGAGGATCTCAGGTAAAAGCCAGCCAGGAAGCATAATATTTGAGAGTATTATCTCCAAGAGACTCCTCACAAAATTTCTAGGATTCCTAGAATCAGAAGTATGATCTGAAGGTCACAGTTCAAACCCAAGGTGGGCTCTAAATTGGTGAGGGTCTTTGGATTCAATAATTAGTGTTATGGCTTAAGTGGTAGAGTACTGGCCTTGACATAAAACGGTTCAGGTACAGCCAAAGGCCCTGAGTTCACATGGCAGATTAGCACAAAATAAAAAAAGAAAGGAAGAAAAAAATGGATGAGAAGAATGCAGCAGGGAGGAGAGAGAAAGGAAGAAAGGAAGAGGGGAAGGAGGAAAAGAGGGAATGAGGGTAAGGGAGAGAGGGAGAGAGAGAAGGAAAGAACAGTAAAGATAGATTTTCCAGGTATTTTGTTGGACGCTCTAAGTTGGACTGGCTGCTATTGTTGGGCCGTTTGTAGGCTCAGGGCATTGGGTCATCCTTGGAAATGACTTGAGGATTTAGGGTACATGGGTGGGAGAACTTTTGTATTCAGTTTGTTATACATTTTACAGAGGAGTCAGGCAGTGTTGGTTTTGCAGGGTACATGTGTGCTGTGCATACACCAAAGTAATCTAGTGTGAGTTCAGCCTGGAAAGAACTGGAACAGGCTCTTGTTTTTCTAAACCCCAAAATTCCAGGGCAGGCCCTGACTGTCGACAATTTACTGTAGAAATGAGCCAGTCATATTTATTTTAAAATGAAAGAAAGGAAAAGAGAAAGTGCAAAGACATCATTTCTCAGCACCATAGAATGAGGGTATTATTCTTTTCTCCAATCTTAGCTACTCAGCAAGTCTCAGATCTGAGGATAACAGTTCAGTGCTAGTTTGGGCAGGAAAGTCCTAAAGTCTCTCATCTCTGATGAACCTCCAGAAAAGCCAGAAGTGGAGCTGTGGCTCAAGAAGTAGAGTCCTGGCTTGGAACAGGAAAGCTCATGGACAGCTCCCAGGCCCCAAGTTCAAGCACCACAGCTAGAACAATAAAACACAATAAAACAAACAATAGAAACCACATGATCTACATCTAACATACATAGATCAAGTTTTGGAGAAAAGTTTGGAAAACATATAAAACTTAATGCCAAATACATCCCATGAAAGCAAGAGAACTCTTTCTGCTTCAACAGTATATTTGGAATGACAAATCTCAGTACTAAAGCCAGTTCAGATTTGATCAAAGACACCCTTAGAATACAAGTCATACTTCATTTGCTCATCAACTTTACAATAAAATTTCAAAAATTTAAAGAAAAGAGACTCATAGAATTTTCTGGCTTCCTGCTGTGAACTGCCATCCTCTGATCTCAGCCTGTTGACTAGTAGAGTTAAAAGCAGGAGTCACAGAATCCCAATGTGAACCTTTCAGTAAGTATGTATGTGTCCCTGGGTGAGCAGGAGGTCAATATTTCTTTGAGTCTCTTTCTGGTTAATTTTGAAATTTTATGGTGGATTTGATGAATGGAGGGATTATAGTTTCATGATTAAGACAGAGAAGTCTGTGAGACTTTATCTCTATTAATCCACCAAAACCTTGACATTAGAGTTGTTGCTCATGTGTTAAATCACTAGCTTAGGGGAAAAAAAGCTAAAGGACAATACCCAGGCCCCACACATACAAACATATGGCGCACGCGTGCGCGCACACACACACACACACACACACACACACACACACACACACACACACACAATCTATATACCTAAAGATCATCAGGGAAATGGGGCTCAGAGAACTTGCTTACTGAGTTCAAATCCCAGTACTGGCAAAAATCAAAAACCAAAATAAACTCTAAAAGAAGTTACATAATGACCAGCACAATTTATTCTGTCAATCAATCCATAAACTTACTTTCAAAAGAAAGAAAAGAATAGGTAGAAGGATATTATTTCTCCGCACCAAAGTGTAAAGGTTTCTGAGGCTAGATAGCCACATGGTTCAGGCAGAAGGGAGTTCACTTGGGAGAGGCCATCTTCTGGCCTGCAGGATATATTGGTGTGTAGAGAGCCAACATATTCTGGTCAGATTAATTATATATGAGAGAGTGGGAGGAGTGCTGCTGCAACCAATGTGGAAGTGACCTCAGAGCCTGGGGCTAATGTCTGGCAACTTGTAGCGAGAGCATGATGTACTAGTTAAGAATAACCACTCAGAAACTAGGGCTGGACTGGAGCAGGCAAGGACCAGTGAGAGGCCGTGATCATTCCTGTAACTGGTCTAGCTAGAAGCTTGGATTACAGGTGTCAGGACTATAGTGTACAGACAGGAGACCCACTGTAAACAGAAATAGCAGGTAACAAGGTCAAGAATAACTCCCTGAGCCACACGGCGAGGCTGGGCCATTTGAGATGAGGGCTCTATTCTGCCCCTCTGAAGAGCTACCTTCGAGGGGCTTGGTGGCTAGGGAACATCAACCCTGAGAGATTTGCCCAGGTTTGGGCTGGTTTGGTCCAGGCATTGAGTGGCATGGAGATATCCCAGAAGGTCCAGATCTGTATCAATTTCTGTTATTAACAAAACAAATGCCACTTCTACAGCTTGGGCCCAGATATTTCCTGTGTGGCCACAGAGGAGGGCTTGCTGGCCTTTCTACTCTGCCAGTGTAGTAGGGTGCCTCTCTCCTGGAATCTCTTCTTGTCATCAGAAATGAAAACCTGGACAGAAGTGCATTCTCTAGGGGGCACAAACTCCACAGATCAGTACAGGTGGAAAAAACAGGAGGTCTTGTTCTTAGCTTATCAGTTCAATTGTAGCTCTGGAACTCCAGGAGTTTCTGAGTGTCCAGGGGGTACATATGTTCTGTGCACCCAGCATCAGGAATCTGCAGTGAATGCATCCTGGAAACAACTAGAACACGATCTTGTTTTGCTTTCTTTTTTTTTTCTTTTTTGGTCAGTCGTGGGGCTTGAACTCTGGGCTTGAGTGCTATCCCTCAGCTCTTCAGCTCAAGGCGAGCGCTCTACCACTTGAGCTACAGTGCCACTTCTGGTTTTCTAGTGGTTTATTGGAGATAAGTGTCTCGGACTTTTCTTGTCCGAGCTGGTTTGAACCGTGATCCTTAGATCTCAGCCTCCTGAGTAGCTAGGATTACAGGCATGAGCCACCAGCGCCCAGCTGATTTTGTTTTTCTTAATGGTTTTAAGTAAGCAAAGCTCTCCATTGTGGTACAGATATAGATCATGTTCTGGGGGAAAATTCCAGGGTAAATTTCAACATCAAATACCATATGGCCTCCGTTGAGGGCAAGAGAACCCTTTCCACATCTCACAGATTTTTGGAGTAAGTATTCTTAGTAGTTTACACCATAGTGATTGAGATATGATCAAATTTGCCTCGAGAATGCAGGCACACTTCATTTGCTCTTCTACTGGAAAAATTCAATTCCTGTCCACCCAGAAACACCAAAAATTAAAAAAAGAAAGAAAGAAAGATTCACACTGGCATCTGGTAGATGCTGCCTGTAATTCTACTAGTCAAAGGCTAAGATCAGAGGATGGCAGTTAGAAGCTAGACTAGCAGGAAAATCGGAGAGTCTTTCTTTTAAATTATTAAATTATTTTCTTAAGTTGAGGTACAGGACTACAGTTTCATGATTCAAGTAATGACTACGTTTCTTCTTGTACAGTGTCATCCCATTCTGCATTCCTTTCAAATGACATCCCACTAAAGACAAGAGAATTCTTTCTCTTTCTCCAGTATTTGGGGATGAGAATTTTCAGTACTTAAAGCTGTGCTGGTTGAGATTTGGTCACATGTGTCTGAAGCATGCAGATCACAGTTCCTTCGCACTTCTATATGAAGAATTCACTTTGTGCTCACCTAGACACATGTGTCTTGCTTTTAATTTGATTCCGGAGACTGAGAACTGAGGATGTCAGTTAGAAACCAGCCAGGCAGGAATGCATGTGAGAATATTATCACCAAGAAACTCCTCACAAAAATTCTAGGATTCCTAGAATCCTACTACTCAAGAATTCT